AGCGGGAGGAGTACCTACTTCGACCGACGTTATGATTGGTTTGGATCTTATTGAGCAAAACCCCAATGAACCGCACCTGATGGATGCCAATGTGCTCTCAGATGTCTATGGTTCTCCTATCCCTGCCGCACAGTTGAATACCAGTGTCCCGGCAGCTGAACAGGGTCACACAAACTTCGGAGTGACACCACAGCTCCATGCTCACCATCTTGCTCAACACTCATTTCACCCTGCGTCCCAATACAGGCAAGCTTTTCCAGAAGCGAAAATGCTGAATGGTGGTGTTTGTCAGTGCAAAGAGTCGAAACTTCTTAAGATGCTGCGAGACCCAGAACCTGCTTACGAACGTCATTGCTTTCGAGAGGAGATAGAAGCGAGACACGGCGGCATAAGACCTGATGATCTTCTGTTGACATCCCCCCCGCCTAGAGAATATAGATGCATACTTATGACCTGTGACAGGGTGTTTGATGATGGAGATGAAATGAACGATCATTTTCAACTCGATCACAACTATCCCGACAATTGTGTTTGTCGGATCTGTCGCCATGCTTTTAGCAGCAGTTTCGAAAAATGTGTGCATGATTACCATCATCACAAGGGTGATGTTTGCATATTTAGTCCTTGAAAGGCTCTAGAGAATTGAAGCTTAATTCTTTGGCATTTAATATTCTCCCTGTTCTGTAGATGTCATAAGACTTGGATTGTTGGTTGGTTGTTCCGGGTTTCCAACAATCCCTTCTCCTGGTTTCTAAATTGCTTGCTAGTGGAGTGGGCCTAGGTCTACTCGGTAAACGGAAGGACGGAAGATTTGACGCGAAAAATTAGAGAAATAGTCACAAATGCGACGACTAACTACCCAATAAATGATAGTTCTCACGCAATGTATGTTGTGTATGGCATCAAGCCTATAATTTCGTGTAGCGCGCGCTCAGATCTCCATTGTTCGTAGTGTCGAATTTGAACCTTGAGTGTAAGGAACACTGTGCATTGGTCATTGGCTACTTGTACCGATACAAATTGTTATCTTCACTTGTCCGGCATATCCATCAGATGAACCCTAAGCAGATGGCCCAGATAGTAGGCACTTCCCGCCCCACAATTATCAGTGTAGATTATCTCACCCAATCTGAGAAAAAGCTCGTCTGCAACATATTTTCAAAATATATCATTCGGATTCTGACTATTCGAGGTATCTGAAAAGCACGAGAGTAATTATACCAACCTCAGATGTGACGGTATGTTCTTCTCAATAACAGCGTGCGGAGACGAGATCCTCCCAAAAATAAGACCTTACTCCGTACACATATGTTTATGCTGGTAAATACCTATGTTAATCTACAGTATCTTCGGGAATTGTGATTAACAACGGAGAGGATATTTCATGAAATGGCAGAATTGTAATATATTCCCTTCCAATGTAAATCTAGCTTCAATAGATGTAAGAATCACCGAATCTCAGTTTGCTCGTTACCCTAAGGAACGTACCAACCTCACGTATACCTGGCATCGGGAATATCCCCAACCTGGTATTTGTTTAAGGGAAATTCCTAGAAGCCCTACGATGACCCTTTTATTGTACATGGGCCACCAATTATATAAGACGCTACATGTCTGCTCGAATTGGCAAGATAAACTCTTCTAGTGCTACAACCGGCCCTACGCATTCTAGTTACGAGTCTCTGCAAGCAGAACCCTACCCCATTGACGAATATCTTCACCTGTCCAGTTGTATATTCAAGCGAAAATGCCTTCGTTTCTACCACTGTGGGACAGAAAGTCTGAAGGCTCGCCTTACAACCCTGATACCAACACACCTACTACCAATTGTCCAACCGAAGGCCAATGCGCTACCGATGAGAACGGAAGTCCCGCGAACCAAACAACTCCTGGTTATGATTTTGGAAGTGACGGGTCCCAACCTTTGATCCAAATCGAAGGAGAAGCCCCCCCTGGTGCCACTGCTATCGACAATGCTTCAGCACCACCGCCCACCACCACCGCTGACCTTGCTGAAACTCAGCACGGTGATGCGGGAGGATGGCCTAGGACGGCATCACTGATTGATGCACTTCCGAAAATCGAGACCAATTCTCCTGCAAACGAGCAAACTTCTGATATGGGAGGAACAAGGAGCCAAGTACCTACATCTGTTCTGTCGTTTAGTTCTAAACTGTCGCGCCCCTGTCTAATCCATACTGCCCCTCCATGCATACAATATGCGGGACCAGGTAGGCCCGAGGGCCCTGGTCTTTTCAGATCCTCAATGAGGGAAGAAAGTGACTATGTTCAACAGTTTCTGACCAACCAGGTACAGGCAGCGCAATACCCCCAAATCCGGCATCGCCGCGGTGCAGCGGTTCACAACGTCGATGCTGGAAATTTATTTGGGATGCCACGCCGTCAGGTGGAGCGGACTAATTCCAGCGCGCTTCTCACTTCCGAGTCATCTACCGCCTCCGAATCTCCAAGCGAAAACGATCCAACAACTCAAGCCCGTAATACAGAGGGTGCAGATGTATCCAGCCTTCAAGGGCCGCAAGACGAGTCAACTGAGGCCCTGGATTCGGGTGCTTCGAGTGTATACTCTGCAACACCACTGCTACAGCTCGATGACACCCATGTCTGTGAAAATGCAGCTGGTAATACATCCGCCCCTCAGGTGGAACAGCTGGGCTCAACTGAGTCTCAGACTACTGGTACATCCAGTGCTCAAGACGGATCATCATTGCTCCAACCTTTGTTCAAAGCCAAATCTACCTGGCCAGCATTTGAATCAACTCCGGCTTATTCTAATGACTTGAGCTGTCTTTCCATGCCGTTCGAACTAAGCCACAGTGAACGCTTGCCCGGGGCGTATCCTTCCGCTGATAGCCCAAATTCAGATGAGGAGCTTGGCTCTACTGGGAAAGAGCCCGCCACGAAAGCCCCGGAGAGCGCAGCTAAACAAGAGGATATAAATGCCTCTTTGTCGACACTTTCTTATATCCAGGACGCCAGCAAACCTTCGGACCCTTCTCCGAATGCCTGGTATAGCACGACTGAAGAGGGCTCTAGTCCATATAGCTTCCCAGTAAAATGGTACGCTCCAGAATCCGAGTTTGACTCCCGCAGTCAGTATTTCGATGCTCACAGTACCCTTGCTCGATCCTTGCCACAAACCGAGCCCGAACCGTATGCACCTCTTCTGGGTACTGCAGCTCTTAGTCAGACAAGCCCTTCAAGCCAAGAGAGCGCCGACAGTCAGGCGACCGCCGCAGGTGCCTCTGGAAATCAGTCCAGCGAGCTGGACAGAGGAAAGAGCTCAGCACCTACTCCGAACGACGACGAGCTGAATATGGACGAGAGCAATCCAATTCAGCGTCCCCGTGACGAGATAAACCTCAAAAACCAAGTGTACGTGGAAGACGATTCTCCTACTGTCATATCTGAGAACCTCAAGAGCAGGAGCGATTGACTCGACATAGAGAAGAGTCCGATGACTGGTCCATAGACGAGGACGAGAACGGGATGTTCTGCCACCTTCGTGATCTGATGGATCATGTCGAGCGTCTCCAACATTATGAACAACTTTGTCAGACGCACAGGGCTGCAGTTCGGAAGGTTTCACTGTATGTGACCATGTTTGTGTATTTGATGGTTTTCCTCATCGCGTATCATTGGATACTATTGACTGCCTAGAGTAACGTTGCTCGGGCGTACGCTCTTTCTACAATGCTTTCCCACCCCAAGTTTACCTAATAATTTGCAAAAGAAATTAGCTATTGGATGTAGTGAACTTTCTGGTAGCCATAAAAGTGCCATCCGAATGTGACTAAACATGTTGCCAAAGGGTCATAAGAATTCATATAGATTTGTAGCAAGATCTCTTAGCCAGTTCACGTACGAGGCAAATAACACTGTCTTGTATATTGCAATAGTCGGCTTGACCCCATATTGTGCAGCCTTACACCCCAAAACACCGAGTGTTTGCGCCATTTTAGCCGTGTAGCAAGTCATATGTCAAGTGGATCTCATCGATCTGGGCTTCAAAACCCACCGGGAATGCCGTAGCCTGATACCGCATCGTAGTGTAGGAATTCATTGTTATGGATGGCCTGATGGCTAGAAGGCCAGGAGATATTGAGCTTGGTTGTAATCGGTTGTCCGATTGGTTTATGAATTTGTCATTATATTTGTCACAAGAAGAACCTGGCCCCTCAGCAAGGTTTTGGCTGTTGGTGGAAGGATACACCCCCGGCAGGCGTTCACTGTAGCTTAGTTCAAATGGCATAGCTAGCGAGGTCACAGAGAGAGATAAGTCCCCACATGACATGAACCCATAGTCTTCACGCAGTCGAATCCAAAGATCTCCCATGCAATCGATCGAATCTGTCTTTATAAACAAGAAATAGAAAAGGAGATATATCTAAAGCGCCATCAGAGGTTTGGGGATGGTCATGTGTCCATGTGTAACCATGCTGGTTTCTCCCTCTCATCCTACCCCGCTAGATCGTGACACCAAGTATCCTTATGGCCGTCATTCATGCTCATTTCCCTTCTTATTGCCAGTGATACCCTCAAAGCTTCACCACAATGGGTGGTTCCGCATTCGGGGAAAGTGAAAGAACACATTGACAAGCGAGTTTTAGCGGCGAAGAAGCGTTAGAACGGAATGGTACTCAAGCCACAATAGCAATGGACTATAGACCCCTTTGTCAGTGTGAAACGAACATGTTGTGTGGCCTTTCTCACCTCAGTGATCAACAACCACTAATAGCAGGAACCTGAAAGCAATCAAGACCCCTATTCTGACGCATTCGCATCATTCGGATCCCCGTGTGCCTTTCTGCGATGCGTCATCATGTTATCCTTGCGAGTGTACGTTTTATGGCACTCTGTACACTGGACAGGTGTCTTGTTATGGACGGTAGACATGTGTCGGTTGAGGTCAGATTGTCGACCGAACGATGTTCGACAACCTGCCTCCGGGCACCTCACCCTTCTGGGGGAAGTCAGTATCAATTATTTCGGACATGAAGACGTGGTTCATACGCTGGTTCATGGCTTGTTTCATGGTGCCCCCCCTGCGAGGGAGACACGGATTGCAAGCCATTGGTGGGATTCTGATGGGCGACATCGTCCATAGGATGGTTGTCGGTTGTTTCAGGAACGGCACTCTGACCAATGCAGGCACTCGCGGCCAAATCAGGGGTACATGAGACGGCGCCCTCCTCATGATCGTCGATATTCCCCGGCGAGAGAGATTCAGATTGGAAGGCCGGGGTGGAATCCTCATGGGCGACCTCGTCCATAGGATAATCGTTCTTTGTTTCAGCATAGGCACTCGGATCAATGCAGGCGCTCATGGGGCAGTTCGAGGTATATGAGCTGGTACTGGTACACTCGTCATAATTGTGAATAGTGCCAAAGGGTAGCACAAGGGGATTCGAAGTGCCGGGACCGCTGAAGGTCCTGTCCGGGCTAATCCCAGGGAGGGACCAAGAAGTGGTAGTGTGGGCACTACTGTGGTCAATATTGGTTGTGCCGTTATGATCGGACTCCTGATCATCAGCACCACTAGCGGTGGTCGCAAAAGGATCGAATTTCGGTGCTACGACCCGGTCTATGTAGTCTTGACAAGGAGAGGTGTCCCCGTCCGGATGAGGCATTGTGGGTGGCATCAGACCGCCCGATCTGAAGGTAGGGCAAGCAGAGCTTCACGACCAATGACTAGATCCGCTGCCAGGAATATAGAGTGATATTGAGAAAGATGAGGAGTATTGAGGCAAGGCGTCCTGTAGCCGGATGTTTGGCGGGGCTTGGGGTGGGGGAGGAATAGCTAGAAGCCTTCAAAATACGTAAGAGGTACGGCCAGTAGAAGCGGCTCGTAGCCTGTATATTTTTAGTGAGAATACTACGCCTTCGTCGTGCCTTGACTGGTACCTTCTCCGTCGTAGGCCAATCATGACGTCCCACTCGACACTCTCGAAGGCGTGGAAGTCTCCGTTGCGCCTGAACATGAACTCTCTGTAGATTTCTTCCCGGACCGCCTGTCTTCCCTGGCGCAGTCCGACTTTCAGACGTTGAACCAAGATTGTATGGTTTGATACGTTCCAGGGCTGCCAAGGTTCGTTTTATCAACAACAGGCCTACCGAGCCGGGGGCGTGATGATCTGAGATCTTATCTCTTCATTAGATCTTCTGATGTAATCTTCATCTGCTTTTGTGCGTGACCTTCGTCATACCCCAACTGACCCCTCCTCTCACTTCCGTTGTCAAACAGCACACCATCACCAAAGAGAATCTACAAGCATTCTGGCCTAGGACGTTGAGATAGCTCATCAATGTCCTTGGTAGCTCTAACTGGCTAGTCCTTCCTGTTCCAGGCGCAAGGCGCAGTGGACACCCTCCGCGGGCCCCTCCATCGATTACAGTCTCCAATCCTTGTTTAATACACGTCATATCGATCGATCTTGCGAAGGCAGACATTTGGACACGGAACCATGGAGCGACGGGATTTTGATTCCAAGGCAGCACATCAAATGGCACCGGTCGCCGCCGGATATCAGATAACGGACACTTATCGTGATGGCTTCCATTGTTTGAAGTCCGCACTACATTCTTATACTGCACGTTGGTGTATTGAGTGTGCCCCGCCTACCTGCTCCGGCCCTGCATCCCCAAGCACGTGCTAGTGCGGGGGCTCTGCTACTTAAGGCCGAGCAAACCAGAGCATCTCAGACGTACAAGCAGTTCAAATACGGGCAGTAAACATACTAACATCATCAGAAGGGCCGTTTAGGGACTCCTGTTCCCCACAGCCACGAAGGATCTAAATCCTGGCTCCGATCAAACACGTGACACCACTGCCCTGGTGTGCACCCGGTTGGACGGACGGATCAGGTCCTGCAAGCCCAGGACCAGTGCTTCAGAGGTGGGGTTACTGAGATATGGAAACCCAGAATCAACCTCTTCTACTTTAGGCCCTCTTTTGCAGAAGAGTGTGGTAGGCTGAACCCCTTACTGGCGGCGGCTCCTCCGCTCGTTCATGGAATGGCATTGTGGTTTTTCCCCCCCTTTTTTTGGCCACTATCACCGTGCGCTTCCAGCCTTCATTTCTAACTTCGTTCATCTATCTACAGGGTTAACCTTACAAAATCTGATCCACAACCTCTCCCGTTCCATAGTTCAGCACGGATATGCCCGGAACATTAGCTGGGACGATCGATCCCCACTCTTTGGTGGGTGGTTCCAACCGATGCGGGTGGTCTCGTTGATACGATGGGAATAGATTCCGGTCCCTGTCAGATCGCAGGACTTCATACGGCCAACAACGGCCTCAGCTTCCATTAGCAATCAATTCTTGCTCTCTAATGCCTCTCAAAGCACACCAACCGGTCGCGTAAATGGGCATACGTGCCTCTACTAGTTAGAGAAGACATCTGTGCCAGCAGCACTCCGTAGGGTTGAGTCAAGCCATGTAAACACCTCCAGCCTACTTAACCATCGGGCTATATCCCCCACGTGGCTCAATAGAGCCTCATAGGAGATGAATGAAGACATAGCTTACAGCATAGATCTCTGGAGTCATCACTAAGGCAATCAGCCAAGGGTACTCTTTTAAAATGTCGATTACCCGACTTGCTTCGCCTACCCCACTTACCTATTTGGGAATGCGTCGCTCGTGCACTTTCCTACCCCACCTACCTAATTCGGTCTTACGCCTGAAGGCGGTATTGTACTGTATTAGTAGTTCCTTGCAGAATCTTCGAGCATGGACTCATCCCCCTGTTCAAAACAGACACCAGCCACATACTAACCTGCAGTCATTAGGTAAGCCCCAGAAGAAGCCCCTTGCGAGTTACACAGGCGATTCCGCCGTGTTCAGGCCCGTGTATGGAGGCAGAATACAGTTCGTGTAAGCCTTTCTTCCTACTTCAGTTGCAGAGATTTACAATACCCGACAAATCTATCCGAATCCTGCGAATTTCGTAACGAAGCCATTCTGCATCAGTATCAGAGATTACTGCCAATGTCTCATTAATGACATGCCTCTTCCCAAAACTGCTACGCAGGAATCAGTGCTCGAGATTGATCTGATAATATTGATTCGGAGTCCGACTGGGTCAAGACTGTGGCACAGGATCTGACATTATGTGGTGGTATCTGATGCCGCCCCACCTTTCTCTTTCCTAGCAGAACATCCGTAGGCGATTGCTATTGGCACTCTGTACCTAGCTAGACCGTAGTAGTAGCTGTGGTGGTAGTTAAAGAGCAGAGAGTCTAGGTAGGGATCTCTCCTTGTAGAAAAGCTGCGCTGAATGATCTCAAGTTGCCAACTCATTGCAATTGCACGTAAACTTAAACGGAAGATCATTCAGGTAAATATGAATCTGCTTGAACAAGTGTCTGGACTTAGACTTTATGTAAGTACGTAGAAATTGTAGTCTATTCAAACTAGCTGGAGACTACCTGTGGCTCGTTAATTCTGTGAGATGCATAGAATTCAGAGAGAGAAGGTTAGACAAGGGGCGGTGAGCAGCGAGACATGTAGGAATAAGCAGGTATCCGAGCTGAGTGAGTACTGTGCCGCATGCATAGGCCAAGACACCTCACACTCAGTCTTGGATATATGCCTGAGTCTTTTTCGCGGTAACAGGGCGTGGAATTGATCTGCTGGCTCCATATCCATGGCGTTGCCGCTGAGGGTCAGTTGAAGCTACGCGGAATGGAAACCCCAAAAGGGCCTGGCTTGTATTACTGCAAGCCAAAAGAGATCATCTGGACGAACGGCAGTCTCCGTACAATATAAGTAAATTTCATAACTGACAAATTCCGATGTACTAACCCTCTTCATCGCAGAGACCACGAGGATTCATACTGTAGAAGGAAGTTCCCGATATACCAAGCCCTATCAACCGTTATATAACCGCCCCCCCCCCCCCCCGCCTCCTTGACTGTGTTCTTGGCTATCCCCATATTCATCGATAGAGCTACAGATCGCAGCACTGACGTTATCCATGTCTCATAATACACCATATTACTCATGCACGCCATCATTCTATCATGAACAGCAGTACATGGAGATTTGGGCATGAATTGCAAGGTCAAATCTACTTTAGCATCTGTTATAACGGGGATTAACGAGAAGGATCTATGAAAAGAGCCGGAACCATGACCGCATCAAGTATAACTGGACTATGCCTTTGCGAAAGACCTCCAATATATTCAGTGTGGCAAATGACCTACTCAAAAGAATCAACAGAATTCAGCTGATGTTTTAGAGAGCTCCTTCGCGATTGATTCCCTCTATCCCCACAGACAAGGGATGAGGGCTGAGGTCTTGATCTTCGTCCGACCTGAAAGTGCGGTCGGTTCTCTGACAAGGATGGGGAAATCCTCTTCCACCGGTGCCTCAATGGACAAAGCACTGAGCCAGCATTCTCATATACACACGCAAGAGAATGGCAACAGTTACCGCTGTCCTCGAGGAAGCCACCGAGGACATTGGCGCCTCCGATCTGCCCCATGGGAATAGCCTCCACGAAGAGACACCAAGGGGACGGCTGGCCTTTCTACCTCAGATATCCCCTTTCCCTGTTCAGGTTAATACACCTCCTTCGACGACTGGGTCGGTAGTCTAGCTGAAGCTGGCTCGACCGACTCATCGATATTGGCGTGACACTCATAATCAGCCCACTTCCAGTGCATCGGTGTACTACCTGCCAGACGCATTTCCTCAATCCCACATGTTCAATGTGTTACCTTTGAAGCCCTAATTCTGATCATCACCATTGATGTGGCGGCATAGCCAGCATATTTAATTTTTCATTTTTTCGCTTCACAGCCGTTCGTTATCCTCCTACCTATACTCGACATAACAGCACTTCACCATATACTTGGTCTTTTATATATACTCATTCCTTTCTTCTGGGTCCTGGCACAATATCTCATCATGCCAAAGGTCTTTCTCTCGGAGTCCGGATAGAAGCGAACTACCAAGGCAACCGGTTGCTTGAACCCCGAGGCGCATCATGTTTACAATATCGCAAATACCCCTTCATACATCAATACCAATGCCCATAGGCAGACAGGACCTCTTAACAGAAGAGCAAAGACGACATATGGTCGGCTGTGTGGAGCAACCTATAGACCAAAGAGAGCCAAATCACGGAGTCATAGAAGGAGAGAACGCAAGACTTGGGAATGAAGGCGTGATGATGTAACAATCACTGCCAACATCTGGGCGTAAAGCGACTCCAACAAAGACGCAGCTGTCCTGATTCAACATCAGTACAGCTCATGTGGGGTCGGGGTGTACTATATAACTAACCGAAATTGATGTCTGATGTATCCGTTGTCCTATTCTATTCCTTGGACGCCTTGTTTCGCGTTATGAGGTCGTGCTTTCCAAATCGGCCTATATGGGGCACAGATAAAGCGGGCTTTTCTATGAAGATACAAAGATGCGAAAAACCCGCCACGGCTAGAATAGAAGAAGAGGATGAGGTCGGATTGTGACTTTCTGAGCGGTCTGATGGGGACACATGTTGGCTCGAATGATTACCCTCTGAAATTATTACCAATTCAGTGATAATTGGGATGACTACTCTAGTGCTCGGAGGTCTCTCGCAACTACCGCCCGTGAAGTATATTGCGCTTTTCGTATACTGGTGGCAGGATTTCCGTATAAGTTCTTTGATGGGAAACAATCACAGCATTGTTATGCAGTAGCCATGAAGCAACCATTTTCAAGGTCTGCCCAGTGTTGTAATGGAGGATATTTATAATCCCGATCCAGATGAAAGGGCTCTGTGAACACAAAACACACCTGGGGGTGGTTCGCTAGACCAACCGATTTGCTCTTGTCATGTCGATGGAAGGTTCCATAGAGTGACTCCTCCATTCGTCTAGAAGGACCGCAATACACAGTCATAATCTACTTGGTCAGTGATGCTCGACTTGGGAGTATCTAACAGCTTAAGGACTGGTCCCATCTGGGAACATATACTATTTGGCCATATGATGACGAAGATTTCAGAGACCAACGCGATTTTCGCTCTAATTACATTCGAGCCTAGGGATAGGAGTTGTAAGCAGGAAAAATATGCTCATAGATCAATAGTATTCTCGAGCATGAAACTGTCTGTACCTAGCAAATTATAGTCAACATATGCCCTTGTATCGAATGAACGGTGAATAAATGAAGCAAATTCAGAATTACTATTGCGATGCAAGATGTAGAATTGTCGATATTGCAGCCTCTATTCGCTTCCCCCACATTTTCTTATTTCTGCTATACCGCAAGACCTATGGTTTGTCGACGGATCTTCGCTTCCCCGCTCCTCATCTTTTAAGCGCTTATGAATAACCAACGCAGATCAACAGATCTGATCAAAATCCAAAACGGGCGTAGGGACGTAATACACCATTAGAATACCTGCGATCGATAGTACTCCAATGATCCATTAGAACCAAATACATATAGCATATTAGAGTATTATCAAGAGACATAGAACCAACGCATTCCCATCCCTACCGGAGATTTATCCATCCCTCGGAAGATAACCTTGGAACCGATCTCGGCTAAGTGGGCCGGTCCGAGCTCGGACCGCATGGGTTTCTATCCAGTGGGTCCGGAGACTTTAAATCTACGAGCAGACCTTAAAAGCAATCTTATGCTGAAATTTCCGATATCTCCGATAGCCCGGATGCCTTCCCTCAAAGTCTCTATGCGTGAAGAGATTCGGATTCCCTGGGCGACCGGTAAGGCTAGCCGGTGGGTCTGATCCAGACGAACTACTTACTACTACCGTAGGTAGCAGCCATTCCATTGGACCTCCTGTAAGCGCGCTCAGACCAATCAGTTTCGACGTGACGAAGCGGAACGAAAGAAGCAAAACCAACCCATCAAGCCAGTAACAAGCTGTTGCACGAATAGTCAGTACTTACGTGTCCAGGCACAGGGCAACTGCCTTGGACACACACAAGGCACTGGGCTCACTAGCCACATTTCGGCTTCACCGCCACGCATGCCTCGATTTTTCCCCCCGTGGGATGGTTCTGGGATTTCTAATGGGGTCCAGCCGTTTCCCATGTCTTTCTGTGGAGGTTCTGCGTTGTGTAGCATACGCGGCTCGGGTGCAGTGAACTGCCAGTACATCAGACTCCCACACAATTCGCAGGGGCACTAGGTATGCTTGTACTCTATCGGTCGGCGGGACGATCATATAGCCGACCGATCATGAAACCCGGCTTGCAGAAGTTCCACACTTAGATGCAGACTTTATCTCACTCAAATAATTCCGATTAATTCTAAAACAAGGGGTATTCTAACAAAGCTACCGCAGATTAAAGGCCCCGTCTTAGTACCCCGATACAACACAACAAGAATAACCACAGATGCCCGAAATGTATATGCTAAAAGGTATAGTTGGAAGCGCCAAAAAGAAAAGGCAAAGTTAGAGTAGGTCACCGAAATTTGGAAAACGCAAAGACGACACAGGTGATTGTCGTATGAAAATCTCGCTCAGCAAAGGATATAAGCAGGAGGCTTTACTAGAATCGATGGGTCCGCAACTGATGCTCCATGAGGTTGTCCTTCCGATTGAACGTCTGATAGCAGATCTCACACACATGGGAAGCAGGAAACACATGAATGGTCTTGATGTGTCTGCTTAAGTCTGCCCATCTATTGAAGGTTGGTCTGTTCGTGCAATTCGCCCAGTCGCACCGGAGAGGGGTATTCCTGCTTGGTTGTCAGCTGGACGCATTACTGACTCTGAATGGAGTGCCAGGAGAGTCAATATACCCTTCCACAGGATTGTTTTCCGGTCTGTTCAATGGTGTCATTACTCCTGGGACGGCGAAGTTGTTCCATGTAATAGCTTCCTGCTGTGTGCCGGCTTGGTAATGGTGGTCCTGGGGCGCGACATCTGGCTGAACCGCGGTAACGAAATGCCAGTTCTCCACGGCGTTCGGCATATTGTACTCGCTTTCAGCATCCCATGGGTACTGGCACGGAAGGTCGAGGAAGCGACCACCATTCAGATACCTCGGGTCGATGTATGCCTGGGCCTGATGATGAGGAGGTAGAGCGGCTTGGTCCAACAATTCGCCTGAAGGAGCGATATTGAAGGAGGCAGAATTTGGAGCGCATGGAATTGTCTCAGTGATACGTTTTCCATTGTTGTCCGTTGGCCTTGCGGTCTGTCGAGAGGCAGTATGAGAAGCGTTTAGGTGGGCCGACATTGTGGAAGATATCAACAAGAAAGTCTATCGGGTTGCAGGGTCGAGAGAGTGTGGACAAGAGTATTGAGAGACGGAGTAGGGCGTAAAGTAATAGATCTATCGTCAGTGAGCAGAAAAGATGGAACGGTTTTGATTCTGATGAGAGGCCATGAGGAAGGACTTTATATCACTGCTCAGTAGAGGGCTCAATACTGACCCGCGCCTTACCCGATTAGGCAGGTAATCCTAGTCTCAGCAAAAATACACTGAGACTGCCAAGAATCTCCTCTTTGAGATTCTGCTATCGCACACCGCCCGTACTTACCGTACGGAAACCCCCTCAATCCCCCCTAAAGGGGAGGCCTCCTATCGGAGGGGGCCCCTCCACAATCTCCGTGGATCCTCCAGGTTCTGTAATTACCCCTAAAGGGGTAATTTGCTGAGTCTCAAGTCTCAGCAACAGAAGGCAAAGTTATTAGAAGTGGGGTTGCTGAGACACCTGAGGCACCAATATCCTACACCTCGATCATCACCTTGGGCTTGCATTACGCAGAATCTAATCCAAGTAGAACATAGACAAGGGCTACGCCCCCCCAGGCTGCGCCCGGGGCCCCCCTGTTTTATCTCAATAGAATCCATGGAAAGTGGAAAAGACCTCCATTCCAAACCGATTAACTCTCGGATCTTCCCGTTACCCGCAAATATATATATATATATCTATACTTCAGAGCTACCAGACAAGTCATGCAAGCACATGCGCCCACGAGTAATCTTAGTATCACCAAACATGACGTTCGTAACAACAACAACAACATGGACATCCAACCTCATAAATCCGACAACCGATCGGTACTTGGTATTTGAAATCACTCGATTCTTGACCATCTCGATAAATGAATAGATCCCATCGTAATGACTCGACGAGACACGCCGCTCAATATCAACGACAACATTCTTCTGCACTCCTTGACGAGCCCACTGGTAAGTCATGTCTGCCAAACCCCGTGGCAGAATATACGCCCATCCAGAACGAGCCAAAGACTTCGCAAGTGTAGATTTGCCCTCACCACCAGTAGGGCCGTAGACCCAGTGTATATAATACGATCATCCGGGAGCTGCGACAGTTCATTATATCTGAACCTGCCAAGGCCGATCCATCCGCTCGAGCGAATACTTTTCGGCATTTTCCTCAAAGTCCCTAGTCATCCGATCAATCTCAATCTGAATAGCATCATCGGGACGTACTAACTTGAAAGACCGAGGATCAGCATCATACTCCTCTTCCATATCACTCTTCTTGCGCTTATTGGACCGCGCCATGAGAAACTCGCCATGCTCCCAGGGACCATCAAGACGGCCCTCTGCCTTCTTGGTATACCGAATAGCATCCATAGGATCTCGAGCCTTCATGGGCTCGAGGTGATACCGACCACCAAGATACTCCTTGGCCCTTTTCATCGTAGTCTTCTTGTCGACGAACTGGACAAAGCCCTGAAAATGGGGCGTCTTCTGAACCCCCTCCTCCAGTTGATAACAAACATATTGAACAATCTTCCGATCATACGGCACCCGGTGTTCACCCGGGTTATTCAGCGTAAAACACCAATATGGTGTTTGAGTAGTAGGCGCCATCGCGACCAATCACAGAGAGCTAGTCTCAGGAAAGCTAGAGCTAGATTCAAGAATACCACCTGTGGAACTAGCCATCCTTATATACTCCGTTGGGCTGCCAACGCAGCGCGCGGGGTCAAGAAGCCTTTACTTATCTCAAAACTTAGTGACGGATGTTAATCATTCCCGCAGTGAAATGCGACGATGGGTATGGCAGTGGGATAGTTCATGTACCGACAAGGGTAGACGGGGTGGAGAACGGATACCTTTGTCTATCCTATCACAGTGCCGGCTGATCGTTCCAGAATCGTGAGCAGCCCAAGAGTTGTTAAGCGCTACCGGCCGGAGGTTGCCCTGTTGGGAGATTATGCATGAAGAAATTATCTCATAGGTAGATAGAGGCCAAGACGGAAATTCGACAACCAAGCGGCGTGCGACCGTCTCCTCCACACCGCTTGAATTAGCCCGAGGCGGCCTGTTTCATTACAACGAACAAGAAGCGAACTAGATCAAAGATCTCATCCGATGCACAAGGGGATTTCGCCATGTTCATTTTTCACATTGTATTGTCAGGAATGCCGCACCAACTGCGGGAATTCATGGCATTACAGAGGTTGACCAGCTCTTCTTCGCAGCCCCCTGAGAGAGCGCGCTCGGCTTTGTGGAAGTGGGACCGCATTGAATTAACAAGCTCCCCGGAGACTCATAAGTACAAATGAAATGTGCCAAACCAGGGGGGGGGGGTCTGCCTGGTGGTAAGACAGGTAACTGTTACATGCTTGGCCGTACTTACCGGACGCTTAACCCAGTCAGGCGAAGTGTGAAGCCGAGTCAGAGGGGGAAAAAGCGATCGTCGGGCTTGTCCGTTAGCTTTAATATACGAAAGTAGTTTAGGTCGCTGTTCATCGGGGGATCCGACCCTCTGACTGGGGTCTGGAACCACGGATTCGTTTTCATACTATCATGTCATTGTTATCCCGCAAGTCTATTGTAACCAGTTGATGCACATTGGATTCATTACGAACAGTACTCCGCATCACATGTCAAGCCTAACTACGACCAAGTACATGGCAAGGGGAACAGCAGATGCAACAGCAGATAAGCATGCGGGGTAACCTATTCGCTTCTGTATTATCAGAAAACGTATAAGTTTAGCGTAGACATAATATTTCAATGTTGTTCATCCAAAGCATTCGGATTGCGGTCCATACACTTCTAGCATAGAAGATGGGCCCGAAGATGAGGGAAGAAGGGCTACCGCCAAACCAGCCTTTGCTCATGCCGCCCGCACCCTGCCGCCTACCTGGAAGGTAAGGCTTGTTGCCCAGAGAATAAGGCCGGGTATTTTGAGCCGGCAGAATCGCACCGCCTATAAATCGAAAACTATAGGCAGTGACTTGATGCCTCGGGCAGCAAGGTGTCTCTGTCATAAAGGCGGTGGGTCTCTCCCACTAGTCAAAACAAGACTTAGCTCCTACTGTGGGCGGAGGGTAGGTGAAGGGTGTATCCCCTTCCCGAGAAGTATAATAGCTAACCTTTATCATACTACAAACTAAAGATCCCGGAATAGCATTTCCGTTTGATCGATGAGATCTGCTGGAAACCGACTATGCGGCGAAAGTATTGTGGTACAGATCATAGAGAATCGGTTGGGAATGCACAAACCGACCATATTGTAGTATATCCAGCTGGGCACTTGATGGCTCATGTGCTAACGAACTTAACATGACTATTCCAGCATTCAGAAATAAATGAACTTATAGCCGTACGGAAAGTCTTAAGCTTATCAAAGCCTTATTCACAGCCGTTATTTCATGATCTTGATATATACACATATGATCACTTTCATTCCCATAAAAATCAAGGATCTTCAATACTCTATAATATCAATCCTACTCATGCTCCATTTTCATATGATCCGCATAAAGCCCTTCCTGCTTCTTCGTATTATACTGCACCTCCCCCTCATAGATCCAATACGCCGGGGTCTCCTGACCCAGACTCCCCGGTCCACAAGATGGATACTTGAGAATGGCCGGTACACCGACCACCTCCTCGCCCGTATTAGCCACCAGCCGATCACCACAATGTTCGATGTGGTCATAGGCCGCCGTATAACTATCCAAAATACCCAAGTTTCCGGCACTGAACTGCCCGCGCCATACGCCGCCACATGAAGGCACAATGTGTCACATGGTACCAATGGTCGACGTAGACGTATTCCCAGTCACCGTCAAGCACCTCGGACTTAGAGAGATGATGCTTGCCCCATGGGTCTGTGGTCCAGGTCCAGTTCCTCTCGGCGAGGAACTCCTCAGTCAACTCCTTGTCGTAGCAGGCTGGACGTACCCAGCTCATGGCTAGGAGGTCTAGTACGCAGTCGAGAGATCGGGCTTCAGCCGGGGAGGTGCCACATTGTAGTTCGGTGACGGAATGTGGTGTGGATTTTGAAAGGAAGGGGGTGGTCGCAGAAGGAGAAGATGAAGATGATGATGAAGATGAAGATGAAGGAATGGCGAATGTGGGCACGCGGTATCCCAGCAGGGCAAAAAGACCACCGAGGAAGGAGGCTGCCACGACTAAAAGGGTGAGAGCGACAATTTTTGACAGTGCTCTAGTTTTGCTGGTTTCCCTTGTGTACGAAGGCAGGGATCTGGTATCTTGCGTGGCGGTGATGCCGGCCTCCTCCTCTTCCTTGAGTAGAGTGTAAGACATCTTGGGATCGGGAGCGAGGATGTCCGTGTGTAGAACGGGACCTTCTTCTTGCTTTAAATGACCATTCGCTGCAAAGGAATGTGATGTCTGCTCCCGTTTTGCGGTTCAGGCAAGGTGCAATTCAAGGGGCAAAGGCAATGATTTCTCTCTTTTCCCTTCATTTGGGATCGACAAAAGTATATAGCTGATTCGCCACTTTGCCGCGTCAAAGAGAAATCAATTGCATTACGCCATCAAATAGGGAGGTGATATGACAAGAGCAAGAAAAGGAAATGAAAAAAGGCAACTGAGAAATGGATAAGAAGCGGGAGGGGGAAGAATGCGAAGATCGGCGCGACTTCGTACTCTGCCTGTCCAACGCTTTCATAGATCTCCAAGGCCCACAAGGAGAAGAACTCATCTTTAAGGTTTGTGTGTTGATTTTTCCAGTCCCTATGTATGCATGGCAAGTGACAGCTCATCGCTGAGATTCCCTGTGTATGTCCGAAATCGCTACCCATAAGCATTCCCAGAGTATAGCGCACATTACGTATGTACCAGATGCAAGTATTTCACTTATCACAGTGTGTTATCTGACGGTCTCATAAGTTCTTCCATTCTTCTAATGGCCCGACACTACAAAGCTCTCAGGCTTGAAAATTACAATGTGTATTGGTCGGATCTCGTCTGCGGGGGAAAAGAGTTCTAACTAATGGTGGCGTAGATTTTTAAACCCAACGTTCTACACATAGCTGCTCTGCCAGAGTTGGTGACTTCACTAATTGTCTTGTATGTTGTCCAGAATGTGCGACACTTCATCCCACGAACACATGCAGAAACAGTGACACGGAAGGATACCATTGCGATAAAGGCTTGTATAGTCCAATCGAACTGTCAACTAGTTGATATTAGGACCTGGCCTATTAGGGCTACATCCTTGTGCAATCTGTGCGCCGGGGAAACGCGTGCATCTCGGAAATATGGCTAGCTGCGGTGTCACCCGACAGTCACCCCCTTTGTGACACCATACCAGGACGGCTAGTGACTTCGGACCGGCGACTGCATCCGTAATAAGCTCGTGACAGCAGTCAATGGTGCTCATATAGCTCTGATCAGCTTTATGAAAACAGAATGTCCCATTCATAGCACCTCATACTTGGAGAAGTCGCCGGACTGGCGCTTGTTAGTCGATGTCGAAGTGTTGAAGGTCACAATAAAGTCCACTTCAGCAGACGCTGTAGCCAACTCGGAGACATGTCAACATCACCTCTGCTAACAGGGGCTGTTACAGCGGCTACGAGCTTGAGATTGGAGGTGAACCGAGAATTCTCATGGCAGTGGTGATTAAAACCCCATATGGGATGTATTGATCACATGATCAGGATAGGCGACAGACGGGGCAGGTTTCCGGTCCACTTTGCAGAACCCTGGAGATCCCAGATGGCAGGCAAGGCGTCAAGAGCTTTGGGAATATTGTCGAACATTGTTCGTGAATATACCCCTTTCAGATAGTTGCTGAAAAAAGCTCTGTGCTCGGGATCCACGCTATCCGCTGCTGCAATGAAACATGACCATACAAATCCATGAGCACCCGGCTCCGTGGGGCTCATCTGACAAAGAAGCTGGCGCAGCTCTTCCAACATATGCCAGGAACTTTGATTCGCAGTGGCACGTTGAAGATATATTTGTGCGCCTTTTGAGAAGACTTGTTTCACAAGTGACAATGTTCTGTGGTGATGCGAATCAGCATTCGCTCTCGAAGCCATCCAGACACTTGGGTCAACAGGGTTTTTAAGTCTCTCGGCGCCTAGATCTGCGTTCAACAGTGGCTGTCCTAGGAATGCAAACATGTCCGTCTGCTTTGTGAGAAAATCTCTCAGCTCGGTATTTCCGACAGATTTCATGTTTTGGGCCAGAGTGAGGAGAGTCCGTAACAGGTGGCTATACTCGGAGCTGCCGGTAACGGTTTCCCCAACAAGTAGCACAATCAGAGTTGCCCAAGTCGATGGATTGAAGACGAGATCCGGTGAGCCAACCTGGGAATCACGTCGTAGCCGGGAAATTATTGCCGATCGGCGGGACTCGGTTGCCGCTCGACATGAGGGATGTCGGGAGCCAAGATGTTGTGCAGCAACAACGGCAACAGCCTGCTGTAGAAGGTTATCTTCCAAAGCCATGGGAAGAATGATGTCCCGGTAGCCATTCGATATATCGAGGACAACCATGACAGGAGCGACATATCTAGCGAAGTAATCGAATGATTCGCGGGTTCTGTGATCGACCGGTGCGATCCACTGGCCGACAGCCAACTCCATTACTGAGGGTTGGCGGTCATCAGAGGGCGCATGTCTAACCACCACTTGCTCTGAGCTAAAGACAATGTCCCGGCTTCCAGCAGACATTGACTGTGGAAGGTCTGTGCCACTAATGACGGAACCCCCGTCTATAGCCAATCCATTCCGGTTCCGCTCCTTCCCGCTATTTCTGGGCTTCTGCCTTTTATTGACTCTGTTCTGGTCATCCTTCCACCGAATAGGACGAGAGGTATCTGAGGCTTCTTGGTATACCGTTTTGGGGTCGACATCTGGTATCGGGATCGTGCAGCCTTTTAGTTTGCCCCTAGTCGCTAGGCCGGGGCTGAAGCGAAAGCGACCCGATCCTGAGCACTCGATCCCTTTCTTCTGGCATTTGAAGCAGGTAGGTTCCCCTCTGTCGCAGACAATCCGGCGCTTCGAACATTGAAAGCATCCTAGGAAGGCAAAACGGTTTAGTCATGATCTGCTCGCATGGGACAAAACTGGGCATACCTCGCGACTGGGAGTTACTACCGGAGTCCGTCGCGACCATAGGGGCCCGCTCGACGACCATCAAGGCATGAACGCCATGCAAGTATGCGCGGATATTAGCTGCTGATGGCGCTATCCGATAGTGGGCTGATATGGGGAGGGTTGTGGAAACTTCAAGGACGCTGAAATGAACTCCGCGGATGTCCGATGGCCGCCCGGAGCGGAGCGGGTCTTTCCCTTCCGAGGTTCCCCGCACGTGTTTGCCTCCCAATGCGGTATCAGCCCTTCTTTCTTCACGGCATCTCCGTCCATCCTATACACTGCAGGGACTGAGAAGATGTCCCTTATCGCACAGTTAATTAACAATTCTGCACTGTGAGCTAATTTGGTAATAGTCTTTCGAAAAGTCGCATATCAGCAACACAGGGCTGTTCTTGTTGGAAACGCCCCACCACGTGATCTGACAGCTACTCCGATAATCCGCCGATCTGAGCTTGACAGCATCAAGCATGAAGCCATCTCCCCCTCTCGGTTGTCTCCGATGCTTGGCCTCCCTTCTACCCAGTCATGGGTCTGTCAGGTGTCAATTGTGGGTTTCGGGACCACAGCACGCATGCCAATGTCAAACAGAGAACCGTCTCGGATGCCAAGCAGCTGATACATGTCTCGACGAGGGAGGACTCTATTCCCATCCTCCTGATGACCGTCATTGGTCGTGTTCAAATGGAAATCAAAATGAAGGGAGTTAAGTGTGCCTCAGATTCGACACAATGGCCTTGTCGGATGATAGTCGCCGTGTGCTGCACTGGTCAACATTTCTCCGGGCGCTAATGCCCTGAGGGTTATCCCCGAGATGATGCCCGATACAATTACTCAAGACTCGGTAACTCTATTACAGGAGGGGAAAAGTGCAACACGATCACACCGACTGCATGAAGCAATCCCTAACGACTGCAATATATTCCAATCTATCTTCTGTTCAATCCTCAACCTTTGACCCCTCCCCTGCGGACTCCGACGCACACCTTGCGTCTTATCTGCTGTGGGCCTGGCTTCGCACCAATCCAGGGCCAGTGCTGACGCAACGCTCCCTATCAGCAATATCGGTGCCGGGCCCACACGGCGCTATTGTTCCTAGCGATCGAGTGGGAAGCCAGGTCTCGTCGCTATCAGGCAGCACTATACAGGCCCGCCTTGTCTTGTCAACCACTCGCATCGCGTCATTACTAGCCGCCACTCCGGAAGCTGCGAGCTTTGCTGGTCGACAACAGCGACATTCTGCAATCCAGCGTATGTCTCTCATTTCTGCAGGTTTAATTGTAGCTAGATTGGTGGTCTAGTCCGACTACCGGATGTAATTTCCCAACCCTATATAATGTCTCGAACGCACCCCTCTTCCGCATGGTCTTTCTCTCCTGTCAGTCAAGCAATCACTTAGATCACTCCTCATTCAACTGCCGCCATGTATATCCCCATCGGTACCTTGGCCACTGCCTCGCTTCTTGCTGGGGCTGCTCTGGCTGCACCCACCCCCTCCCCGCTCAAGGCAAGAAACATCGTCCGCCGAAGCGGCAGCCACACCATTTACAAGCCCACTCCATTCACCGCTCCCAGTCAACACAAGGCCGCCTCCAAGTACCTCGAGCTGAGCAAGACCAAGTCCAAGGGGAACGTGAACCCTCGTAGCGCTGCGTATGTCACGCGCTCCACCAGCAGTGGCAGCTCCACCTTGATCTCCCTCTTCGAAGGCGAGGAGTTCGCTACCTCAATCACCATTGGTAGTGATTCGTTTGACGTTATCGTCGACACCGGTTCCAGTGATACCTGGGTTGTCAAAACCGGCTTCACATGTATTGACCTCGACACCGGCCGCGAGACCTCCGAGTCGAGCTGCGACTTTGGCTCCACCTGGACTGTCGAGAGCTCCTTCGTGGAAATCGAGGGAGAAGAATTCGCTATCGAGTATGGCGATGGTGAGTACCTCTATGGAGTGATGGGTAACGAAACCGTCACTCTTGCCGATATCACTGTGGATCAAACCATCGGCGTGGTCACTGAGGCCGCCTGGGAGGGCGACGGAACCACCTCTGGCCTGACTGGTCTTGCGTACCCTGCCCTGTATGTATTCACCCTTGTCACATATGCACAAGTAGGCATCTAACGTCTACTAGTACGAGCGCCTACTCCACAAAGACCGACGAGCAAGTCGTCTACAGCAACATCATCACCACCATG